CCACCCCCCTCCGAAGCCCCCCGCGCCTGTTTCCCCTCGGCCCCTGGCTCGCTTAACCCCCCCTCCGGCCTCTTCCCTGCCTTCTCCCGCTGAGAGGGGCTTGGCGCACCCTTTCCCCTCTCTTGTCCCGAGCCTCTCGCGTTCGGCCGGTCTGAGGCGGGGTTGGTGGGGTTTTTTTTGTGTTTTGTTCTCAGTGCTCTCTTTCCGATTTTACAGGCCTGGTAGTGGCGAGGGTTGTTTGCAAGGGTTTGTGCAGCAGCAATGTCCTGCCGTCCCCGCTGCTCCCTGCACACGCTCGATTGTATTAAGCGTGGTTAATTTTCCCCCACTGAAAAGATGCTTGTCCACGCTATGGCTGGATGTATCTTTCAGGTAACATCCATGTGTCCCAGGTGTCTTGTCTGGTGGAGACTAGATCTCCCTCTCTGTGACTGTAAAACCTTGTATCAAAGAGAACTGTAATTTCACATATCCCCCGATTAAGGATGAAAACTCTGGCCATTTTCCTTGTGTGTAAGGGGAAACACCTTCCTGAGACCTTTATGATCTGCATCTGTGTACCCTTACACTGCATCATGCACACCGTGTGGTAACATGGTTCTGTGTGGTTCTGTTTTACAAGATGAACCTTGAGTGGGTTGAATAAGGGTTTTCAGGTTGGCTGCTGCTTATAGCACTTCCTTTCTTGCATCACGTTCGTTTGTCTGCCATGAAACTGCATCTTCGTCTACCATCGATAGAAAATACATTTCGGAGGCATTAAAAATCTTTCTGGTTAGGCCTGTAGCTTCTTTGCTGGATTGTGGAAACCAAAAAGTGCTTTTTATTTCTTGGTAGAATTTGAAGACAGCTCTGACTATTTGGAAAATATACAATGTAGCTGTTCTGGGCTGAATGTGTCTATCCCAACATTTCCAGTGTGGGCACTGAAACAATTCAGTATGCAATTCTGTCTTTATTTTAAATTTGCATTTGAACATCAGGGCTAGTTAACCAAGGCATAACTGACTTACTGAAAGCGTGTTTTCTAGCTGTGTGTTGATTTTACTTTCAGGTAAATATACAAACAAACTTTCAGCACTGATTTCAAAGTATATCCTGCTGCTTGCACAAAACACATCAGTAGGCTTTTGTAAAGACGCTGTTAAAATCCATATTGTAGAAGTGCTACAAGTGTAATGCTTTCAGGTCTTCATAGGTATTGCCAAAAATACTTCAATTATTTGTGAATATGAAATGAGAGGGACACCCATTTGTTCCCGTTTGCTGCAGTGATTAAATGAGTGAGCTAATGGTTGTGATTAAATAGAATCTAATAATAGATTTTAAAATAAGTGTATGATCTGAAGCTGACTGTGAGCTCCTTTTCTGTTCTTGAAGTTCGTGCTTTCTGTTGAAAGGAAAAATAGACTCAGGGCTGAAAGCCAACGCCATAAGCTTTTCACAAGTAGGCAAATTTGCCCTTCCTAATTACCAGATATTAACTTACTGAGCCCTTTACAGTCCTTCCTCAGTTATAATTTAGATTCTAAATGTGATTTCAGAAAAAGAACAAAATTGCTAGTTATAGCTTCTTGGGCATCATATTGTTCCGTACAAAATGTAAGTAGTGCTGTGTTTGCTGGTTCCAACATTTGCAGAAGCAGCTTTAATTTCTATTTAATTAAGGCAATCCACTCTAAAGTTATGTGGGAGAAGACCCCCAAATCTTCAGGCAACAAGCCCTATTTTGACATAGGGCTAAGAGAATATGGTGTGTTTCCAAAAGCAGTCTTTTGAATATGAATATGAAATAATAGAAAACTCTTGGCTTTGGGGAGGAGTGCTTGCTTGTGAGTGTCTCTGGCTCCTGCTGGCAAGGTAAAGGAGCAGCATTTTTCACAGACCTTTTAATCCTTTAACCTCCAAGTAAAATGTACATTCAGGCAATCAGAATACCCCTTAACTTAATAATAATAATAATAATAATAATAATAAAAAGCCCTACTGGATTTCCTTTACTGTTGAGCCATGATTACATTATTGGGTGGTATTTGGTGGGGGGAAAGGGCAGCTGCACTAGATATAAAAAAGGATCAGAACAAAAAAGATTTGGATAGTAGAACAAAAAGCAGATACATTCCTAGGATGTGTCAAAACATTATCACAAGATTGTTACACTAATTTGAAATGTGCAAAGTGTCTCCATATATGCTTTTTACCTCAAAAGCACAATTTATAGCAATTCCAAGAGTCTTCCGTCTTTACTTTCTGTAATCAGCTGTCCTTCCTGTGTTGTAGATGATATAATTGGACTATCTCAATGTCTGTTTACTTACTGATAACTCAGTATTATGATTAAGATCTCTTTTGAAGAGTACAGTTGACTTCTTCCGTGTAAAAAGACGTAACAATTCGTAAGTTTTATTACACAATGCTTTTCCTTTAAAGAATATTTGATTTAAATCAACTGTATCCTGAGGGTCAATGTCTTTTCCTGAGAAACTGTTGAAGAGGAAGCAGAAAAAGCAACTGTTCAGCGGTCTGAAACCGTCAAACACCTACTCTGGGAAAGCCAAATCTAATTATTTCCTGCTGGACACATTGCTGAACTAAGACTTAAAACAGAGGATGTGGTTACACAGACGTTTCTTTTAGTTTTGGGGCTGTCTTAAACAGCTCATATTCCTATCTGCCTTTTTTTTTCTTTCTGTCTTTCTGTCTTTCTGTCTTTCTGTCTTTCTGTCTTTCTGTCTTTCTGTCTTTCTCCCCGCCATGTGCTGTCACCTCAGTAGTGATGGTATGTCTGTGGGGCTGCATGCTGAGCCAGGTTAGAGACCTGATTTTTAATCTGCACATGTTCTATTTTCTGCCCCTCAGCCCCCAAAATAAAAGGAGGGGGAGGGCCGAAGGAATGCGTAGCTAGGTGGAGGGGAGGGAGCGCAGAAGCGGATTAGTAAGAGCTGCAGCTAAAGGGAACGTTTTTGGAACCATAGTTTAAAACTGTTCCTATGATGATTCTTTTATGTGTGTGTCAAATAGATGAAATGGCTGAGTTTGTGTGAGCTCAGAAACTCATTCCTTTGTCAAATACTCTGATCAGTCCTTCAGGGACATAATGCATGTGGTTAATGTGTATATTTTACCTTACCTCCTTTGAGTGCTTTATGGAGTGCAAACACTGTTAAGTGGCTTCTTCAAGGGAGATGAATGGCATTGGGGTGAGGACAGTTTACATTACGAGGCGTAGGTATGCCATAGTGGTCAGTCAATGCCTGGAGATTTTTAAATGCAGGCTGTCCTTGTGGAGGGCAAATGGTGCATGCAGCTTATACAGGAATCTGCCATCAGTCTGATATTATGTTTTCAGATGTTAAGAAACAATGCTGGTAACAGCAGCTCACTTTTTTTGATGCTTTTCCATTTTTGATATGAGACACTTATTTTCCAGAGAGATAAATTTGAGAGTTTGTCACTGAGTAAGGTACTTATCTGTTTGAATTAGATTGGTTTATATTTCAGAAATTGAAGTAACGAATCTAGTTTGTACAGCATTCCTTTCCCTATCCCTCCCCCATTTTCTTGTGTGTGTGCAGCATCATTATTCTTGTGTGGAGAAATATTTTGGATTTAGGCACACAGCCATACTGATAACATCTCTGTAAGAAGGTGAAATTTAACACACAGTCACAAGTCTTTTTAAATCTTGAAAGCTGAAGGCTGAGCTTTTAATTGGGGATTTTCTTTTGTTACCTTAACCTCATGCCATCCATCTGCTTTTGCTCTCCTACCACAAACCAGCATGTTGACTACTTCTACTTATCCTTCTTAATTAACTTGTGCTCCCTATTTCAGCTTGTGTTGGCCTTGCTAATCTAGTAAAGCAGGGTTTTTGCGGAGCAGACCGGTAACATGGTAACTGCTGCTGCATGTGCCAGGATGTTATTTGTTAACAGCTGATCGTTGGGGGATGCCTCTGTGGAAGTTCCTAATTCACTGATATAAAATTTTTCCCCTGAACATCGTCAGGAGCTGTTGCTGCTGTTTTCTCTGCTTGCCATGGGTGCATTTTGAAGTGTGTATGTACCATAATGCAAGAGCCTCTGGCATAAAGCAATGCAGAAAATTCCCTATTTTGCCATCTCCAGCAAGGCAAATAAATGCACTGACTACACATCTTCAGAGCACCTTCATGTTAGGGGAACGGGAGACTGAAATTATATGTCTAGTTTTGTGAAATTAATTATGTTTTGGGGCAGGTGTCTGCATCACACATTATTTCAACCTCAAATTAATGCTTCCTGTCACACAGGGCAATTGTGACAAGTTCTAGCCACGCTAGGAAGGGGGTGTGTATGTACTTCGGCTCCTTGAGTTCGAACCCTTTCCGTGGTTTAGTAGAGACACTGAGGATATGTCTTCACTGCACAATTGATCCATATGGTCGACACCCTGTTTAGGCTTACTCAAATGAGATCATCCTTTGCACGCAGCCATACCCATGTTATGATGAACTCATTCTTGCTGCAACTGTTTATATGTGGCAAGGTACAGCTCTGAGCAAAGATGGGACAGGATTCACTTTCTGTCAATTACAGGGAAACTTTTCCTCCTTCAGGGAGAAACTTTCAGAAAAGCATTGAAAGATTCTACTTGGATGATTGATTTATTTAAAAAATAATATTTTTGTCCCCTCTTCTGATTTTTATAGCAATATAACAAGTTTCCCAGCAGAATCTGATTATAGTCTGTAATGTAACTTAATTTCTGTTCCATTGGGTAAGATGGATCCAAACCTGGGAGAGAGGTTTCTCTGAGTGACTGGTAAGGCCAAGTTAATGTTAGGCCTAATATAACTGTACCTCTAATTTTGCTCCCACATGTCCTGTCACGCATGCTTTACACCAACAGATTGCCTGGAGTCTGAATCTTTTCAAAGCCTCCATCTGAGAGGCAGTATGGCTGTTAGGAAGATGGGATGTGAATTCTGCATTGCCATGTTCATAACAGGCTTGCGAATCGTATCGGTGAATTTCTGTGTTGTTCAGATGTGCTCAAACTCCAAGTCACCAGCGAAGGCAATAAGCCATTGTAATCACTGGAATAGCAGCCATTTGGCTTGAACATGTAAACACTGACATATAAACATTTCCATTGGATGGAGAAGTTTATCAGCAAGATGAGACTTCTGCATTTCTTAGAGATGACACTATTTTTTCTTCCGACAATCTAGGACAGTACAGTTTTGCCTGCATTGACTATATAGTGAGAGGAAAAAGGAGAGTTGGAGGAATGTTTTGACTGTTCTATAAGCAAAGAATAACAAAAGCAGTTCAACTGGGGAATTTTGCCAGAAAATGTTTCGGTTATCGGATTAATCTTTGCTCACTTGCTGCAATATAGAAGGAGCAGTAAAGAGCTCGTCTTTCATTACAGTTGTAAGGCTGTTCTAAATTTTTGTGAAGTCTGACTTGTTATTTTGAAGGTGGGGTGTGTCAGTGTTTTCTATTGTTCCATCCTCAAGTAGGATTGAAATTCCAGGGGGTGACTGGATAAGGATAATGATAGAAATACACTATACCTGCAGTATCTCTTAGCTTAATGTCACATGCATTAGAAAAAAAGTCAATGACTGTCCATCCCATTGCAAGCCAGCTTATCTCCTACTTGGGGTTCAGATGACTAAGCAGTAAATTGCAAGATGCAATACTTTTACCACCTGCTAAAACTGAGCAGGAACTTCCTTGACAAGTAGGACTGAAAGTTTTAAAGTTGGCCTTCTATTGGCCTGACCATTTGGAATATGCTGTCCTGGAGAATGAGTTGTGTGTGGGAGAACAAGGATCTCTGGATACCTGAGAAGGCTAGTGCAAGTGCTGGAAACTCAGGAGAGGTAAATAAACCGAGACAATGAAGTTATTGAAATAGTTTGTCCTGTTTTCTGAGCGTGTGTTAGCGTGTACACATACACACACACACATGTTCTTTTCTGAAAGGTAACGCTAAGTTTTTGCAAAGATGCCAAAAATCATTGAGTGTACATGTGTATTAATGTAAGGTCTTCTGTATTGTGTCAGGTGAGATGTCTATCCAGCCTGGTGTCTTGTGTTGGCAAGTTTCTAGTAATGAGTGCCTTGGAAAGGATGTAGAACTGGGGGTGTATAGAGAGATTCTTTCCCCTTCTGCCTCAACCTGCCCTAACCCCAGCTGGGGATGGCTTGGTGTATTCTTCAGACCTGAAATATTCAGCAATCTCAAGTTTTCCATAGAAAAACATGCTGAAGAAAATGCAAAGATGTTCTGACTGGTTACAGGGTCCCACTTCTGTAAAAGACTATTAGAGGTCCTGTTCCAGCTGGTAGGACAGGCTCACCAAGAAAAGGCTCAGTGGTGGACCTATCTTGACTTACATGAGATTCAGGAGAACATGTATCTTAAGTGCTGGAAATAAAATGCAGCAATAAAAGTCCAGCTTTATCATTGCTGTTGCAATCTTAAATTGGAGGAGAATATCCAGTGAACCAAGATTACTGGAAATTAGGGCCTGGCCAGCAGAAATCTTCACATGAAACACGTCTCTAACTTCACACTTTTATGCACTCAAGTAAAGATTTAATATATGGATAAATTTCACGCTTATAATTTGTGATTTAAAAAACAACATCGATAACAAGCATTCCATACCTAAATTTTGATGTTATGTACTTAATGCTGTCAGAAGAATGTTTCGGAAAAATTGTTTTATCAGATTATATAATAAAGCACTTTGTTCATCTGATTGGGATATAAAATGCCTAACAGTGGTCAATTGTTTACTGTTTTTGTGGAAGACTTCCCTTGACTTCTTGAGGCCTTTTTATTGCCTTTTAAGAATTCTAGGATCCGCAATTCTGTAAAAAACTATATTATAAATATATACTTTGTTTTGTAGCCTTGTGTCATTATCATATTTTAATTATGGTTGTATCAGTTTGGCTGCTTTATTAAAGAAAATATAATTGTTACAGGTTCTCACATTTAATTAAGTGGTTGTAAGTAATTCTAAATATTGACTCGATGACAAATACTGTAAGAGGTGAGAGAATGACTTCTTGATTCTGTGGTAAAGCCATGATTTGTGTGTGCTGACACATTTTAATCAAAGAAAAATTGAAACATTTCCTGAAAGGGATTGTAAGGGAAGTTTCTAAAGTAGTAGTGTACTTACTGTTTTGGGTTTTTTTTGTATTTATATCAGTATTGTAAATCCCTTCTCCTGTAAATCATTAATTAGAGGAGAGTTGACCAAGTAGATGTGCAATTCATTACCTGTAGCTGCTTCTAAGCAGCTTCCTTCTTTCATTTGTTGGGGATCAGAGAACTCTTTCAAATTTCGCAATAACCATGCTAATTATCCAAGTGTCTAGGCTAGCTGTAGTAATTCTTTCTTCAGAAAAGACTAATCAGTCTAACTGGTCTTATTCCTTCTGATGTTAAAGCAGTAGACAGATTTTTTTAATTTTTTTTTTCCCTCACTCCAGGTATGTTAATGCTTGTGTCCTAAGTCTGTCCAGTCTGAAGTTTGTAAACTTCAGGGAGGTGCTTGGGTTTCTTTTATTTTCTCTTGTTAACAGAATATCATGGCATCTCAGCTGCAGTTCTGTGCTTCTGGTGTCTAGTAAGCCCTAAAGTCTGTAAATCTTTGAGGAAGAAATGGAATGGAAACTTTGTGTTAAAAACTTAATATGATGATTGGTAATTTTTTTTTTCTTAAGGTGGCTAAGGAGGTAGGAGTGAAAGTATGGCAGCTACAAATCAACTTCTGACCCTTTTTATTGCTGTTTGAGACAATGGTCTTCCAGAGCCTCCAAAGTAATTATTTTCTAGTCAAGTACCGCTGTGTATGCGTGTTAAAACTGTATTGCCAGAGAAAAGTAGTCTGTTACTTTAGCACATTTATGAGTTTTTAAGGTGTGCAGATTGGTTTCCTCCCTCCCATGCCCCTTTCCCCAGTGAGATTCCTATTGCAGTCTTGACAAATCTCTGAAATGTACTTTTTTACTTTTCATTTTTTTTGTTTGGGTGGATAACATGGTGTAATAAACGAGTCATAATAGTCTCCAACTTCTACTATCCAATGTTTAAGAATGACTACAGTACAAGGACGGGAAGATTGAGTGTATTGTTTGGTGAATATTCTGGCTTAGTACATCTCAAACAATGCATTCTTCAGAACTGACAAACTGATAGTCCTAAAGTAAAAGTTCTGCTCTGCAAGTAGTGTGAGTATATGTACACAAGTGTGGCAGTCTCTGTAGTATTTCAGTCCAACTTCTGTTGTGTATGACAAATGAATTAAAGATTATATGAAAATAGAGTCCTAGATAAATGATTTTGCTCCTTACTCTTAAAGGAGAAAATGGACAGGCTCTGGTTGGTTTTTTGTTTGTTTGGTTGGTGGGTTTTTTGGCTTTTTTTTTTTTTTTTTAAGATCTCTGAGTATTTGTGTCGTGTTTTCCGTTTCAGTGACTGGAAAGAGAGCTGCTGGCATGGAAGTGAGCTGGGTTTGCCGGTGGGAGCTGTGAGTAAGGTAAGTATTGTGTTCTCTTTAGTGTGTCTTTAGCCTGGACCTTTTGTCCTTATGTGCTGAACTGAGCATTGCTTGTGGTCACTTAACACAAGGGATAGTAGCGTGTTAGAGATGGAATATTTTGAATTTGTGCTAGCATCAGGTGTGACAGCTGTCCAGCAAGTATTTTATAGTGTAAGAGTATAAATGGTACACTTGTGCCCTTTTCACTGCTGCCTAGCAATTAGTCAGCTTGGTCACAAGTTAACTGGTACTGCATTGCAAACTTTTTTCAGTGTTACTGATACTTGGGTCCTAGACTGATTTATTCAAGTATATAAAGTCAGACAATCTGTAAGTAAAACTGTAATGTCTGCAAAACTGTAACTGAGCTTACCATGATAGAATAGCATTCATTAAATTTAGACGCACCTCTTGAGTACTTACTACTACTTTTCAATAAATTGGTTAGCTTAGTCAAGACAGTAGTGTAGATATACGCTTCCCTAAGAATCACTGAAGAAAATTCTTACCTATTTTTCAGTAATGGGGAAATCCAAGGGTGGAAAGTCAGCTCTTATAGGGGAAAAGCAGAACAGAAGATCTGATCTGGTAACTGTCTCAGTTGCTGGACTTTCCACTTAAATGAATGTCATGCTGGGTAGCCGCATTAGGAGATGCTAATAAATTCAAAGAAATTTGGATTCCACATCCAGTGCCCATTGATGGGGGGGAAGAGGCAAAGTAATTTCAGATTGCTTTAATTTCTGCAGACAGTTTCATACTGTCATGACTGAAAAATGTGACTGGGGTCAGAAAACTTGCCAGCTCTGCTTCAGGCTTTGGTTTCACACTGTACCTAACGTGAGGTAGCTGAAAGCCGTCACTTTTCAGTGGGCTCTGCTCCTCTGTTTGGGGTTGTTGGTGTTTTTTTGGGTTTTTTTTCGGATGAGATCTAATGAACGTGTGGTTGCAGGGTTCAGATTGCTAGCACAATGGGAAAACAAGCATGTTTCAAGGTGTAGCTTTCCATTGGAACAGCAAGCTCAATTGACTTGCTCTGTGGCTGCAGAGCCACCAGATTTGAAGAAGGTGAGAATTTCACATGGAGATGAGGGGATACAATATGTTCCTATGCTCTTGGTCACAGCCCGTGATCAGACTGAATTAGATAAAATATAAAACTGCTTCCTCAGACACACAAGAAAGTTCCCAAAAACCCTTGCCATAAACTCCTTAAGATTCTTAAATTCTGCAGTTTTGCCTGCTGCTTTCTGCTAACTTGAATGCTTGTGCCAGGGGCTGAACTGAAAGAAATCTAAGTACTTTGCATTTGTTTTATTTCCTTTTTGTCCTTTTAAAAATTTATTTTCTTTTATTTTAGTCTAGATTGGTTACCTGAGCTATCTTTCCTTCCTTGCCCAAGTCACCACTTTGTTATGCCCAAGGGTCATCAAATCTTGTGCATTTGAAAACATACTGGGTTTTGTGAGGTCTTATTTCCACTCTCCTCTGGTCCAATGAATTTCTTGTCCCAATCTGCCCTAAATCCACATTCAACATACTCTCTCAGCCCCTCAGTTTTCCTGCTCTGAATTTCCAAGTCAAAGCTCACATCTGGCTGCAGATTGTCAGCATTCCCTTTTCTAGTTTGCTGCAGCCTCCCTGCGTCCATCGGTTGTTGGCATCCGTTGCCACATGCCTTTGCTGCTGGCTGAATCTGTTGCTTCATCTGCTTGCCCCTGTTGGGTGGGGAGGAATGCTTTGCCTCCGCCATGAAGGAAATTTTAAAAAATGCATCAGACAGCAATGGCAAGGAAGTCAGTTAGAAGGTGGTGGAAAACAGGCAGTCTTCTTCTAAACACACTGTAGTTCGTCATGCATTTCTTTGGCACCAGTGCAGGCTTAAACAGCTTGCTCCGTTTCGCGGCTCCCTCTGTTTTGCTGGCATCGCTGTTTGTGTGGCCATGGTGAGCCACTCGGGGGAACAGATCCTCCTGGAAAGAAGTGGTTTTTTTCTAGATTATTTTTCATCTGGTCCAGTACATGTTGTCTCTGTAAGATTTATGCTGGTTTCACAATGAGGAAGGTATGAGAGTGGGAATGTGTAGCAGACTGCTTAAGTTGGCACCGCTGCTAGATGTTTAAGTGTGCTCTTTGACATTACAGTTAATTTGGACTTTCAGTGAGCTGCTGTTGCAAAGGCTGGTCAAACCTCTATGCAGCTGTGCACTTTTGCTGCTTCTTTTGCATCAGAGCTAGTGACTGTGCAGCCACAGGGCACGTCCAGCTAGCTGACTGATCCTGTATGAAATGGTTTCTAATCTTTTGCAGAGTTAATCGTCTGCTGGTTCAGCTGACCTGAGTCACCCCATGGGTGCACACTTCATTAGATCAGACGAAAGGGAAGCAGCAGGAACCAATAGCGTGGCAGCAGAAGGCTGGATTCCTCTTTTAATAGTGACATTGAGCTATATTATGACAAGGGCCTAAAATATACAAGTGTACCCCTTGACACGAGATCTGAATGTTGCACCTTTTTTTTTTTTCCTCTTTTGTTCTTTGGACTTCTTTATTTCTTCAGTAGCTATTAATCTTTAGTCTCACAAACTAGGTGATTATCATACCTCTCAGTGTGTTGAATTAAAGTTATGCCCATAAACTGCTTCAGTGTTCTGAGGCTCAACGTCCTCTGAAATTAGAAGGAGGACTGCCTCATTCATGCTCTGAACTTAAATAAGAACTTCAGAAATTGGATGGGGAGTTCATTCTTTTTGAGTGAGGATTGTTTATTATAAATATCATTGTGATTCTCAAAACTAGTTTTGGTATTATCAGTTCTTCTGTGTACCCAGAGTTCCCTGAGCTTGAAAGCCATAAAGTTCTTCCAAATACATATCGAACCATGAAAAGTATTTCTTAAAAACCATCTGGAATGCCAAAATACATTTCTCAGCCTGATATTTGTGGTTTTAAGAAATGAATGTTTGATGATGATTTTTTCAAGACCTCTTAAAGACTTTCTATCACTGCTGGACTGAGTGAAACAAATGCTAGCGTCTTATGAAGGAAATACTTAAGGCTTGAAAAATAGGGTTCTTGATGAGTGGTTGTTAAAATCATGTGTGAGGCTGTGTTTGTCTACAGCAGAAATTATGCAGTTGATCGCTTTGCACTAGATGTGTTCTTTGCATCTTTTCTCCCTCAAGTTCTAACATCTCTATACAGCTGCTCATGCCTTTTGTCTGATAACATTTCTTGCCATAGCATGTTTTTTGACTCTTGTACTGATAGATTTGCTGGAGGCGGTAGTGGAGAGACTTCTGGTGATGATTCAGATGTCCTCTCTTACTGTAATGTTACTGGCACAGTATACATACAGATTCAGATTCTTTAGCTCAGAGAAAAAATTGTGCTCATCCATGTTTTACCAGCATCTTTGTTCACATGTGTTGCAATCTTTGCATTTTTTAATAGGGGCTTTGTAAGGTAGTGGCTTCTGAGGCTTGTGATCGTGGTAAGATGGATGGTTTACACCTTCAGGTCACTGGTTCTAATCCAGAAAAAAATTGGTTAAGTTTTAACTGCTTTTGCCTTTTTTTCTTCCCCGCTCCCCCCAGTGACTGTGAAAGTGAAGGAAATTGATAATCACTTCATTTTGCAGAAGACAAATGCACGTGAAATATGTGTGTTAAAATAAAATTCCATAACCTAAGAAGGTCACTTTTTAGTGGTCTGCATGGTTTGGTTTCTTAACTTAAGGTGGTTCTACAAAACAAGCTATTACGTTTCCAGGGTAGAGTCTTTGTGAGGCTTACATTGTTGCTGACTGTATTGTATATACTTTATTGACAGTGTCATCAGTTTAACTCTAAATTAACTGGAGAAGTAATTCTGCCGACAGTTGTGTGCCTGAGTGAAGCTGACTGACAGGAAACAAAGCATTTTTTTTTTTTAAATACAACAGTCTTCCTGTTGGTGACTCTTCTTTGATACCTAAAGATAAAAGCAGCATCTCTCTGATCATTACAGCTTCTCAAGCTAATGTGATGCTTTGGCTCCCATCTGCTGCAAACTTCACTTCTCCTGGGTTACTCTTTTGATTTGTGATGGCCTGGGGCATATGGTTGCCGTTGGGCATGCCATGGCATTCTCTTCCTCTCCTCTCACTCATTTCAAAGATTTGTCCACCTAAAGCCACTTTGCCCTGGCCTTCTCTTGGCTGGATCATCTCAGCTGGCATAATCAGCTGAAGGCTGCTCTTAAGTTTAAAATAAAAAAACCTGACTTCTCAAAATAGCCCGGCTGCACACACATGCTGTTGCTGTTAGGTGCGGGGGGTTGCTTAGCAATTCTTAAATTGGTAGGAAATTGCTATTACCCTGGAAACTCAGCCCCAAAATGCAAACAAGGGAAAACTGTTTATAGAGGTGTCTTTGCTTGCTTTGGGAATTGAGAGCTTTTTATTCTTCCCCCCTCCTCCCTGTACCTCTCTGATTTTTGCTTACTTATTTTTAAATTCCTTTTGTTTTATATGTATTGCTCTTGTTGTTAAGGTTTCACATTAGGGAAGGTGGTACTGTTCTTTGGTTCATTTAAATATTGACTGTCAAGGTCTTGATTATGCCACGAGTTGTATATTGCCAAAGTCAAGAGAAGTCTAATGCGTGAAGACCTAGTGCGTGTGTCCGTGTCCAATAGGAATGTTGGATAGATTAAACTATATAACAACACCTTAAGGAGACACTGCTATCAAAAGTAGCCACCCTGATTTCTTTTTTATTTCCTTGTGCCTCATTCTCTCTCATGCTAGCCCAAATTCTTGTGTGGCTGGGTGGCAAACCAGATTAGGAACTGATGCAGATAACTAGTAGTTTGTGTGCGTGTGGCCAGGTTAAATTCAACACAGGTTAGTTCCTTGATCTGGTTCAGCCTGTGCTGGCCCACAAGGAGGTGAGGAATGAGCAGGCTGGGCTGTTCCTTTTGTTGGCAATGCCAGTTTAGTGTCTAACCAGAGGATG